AGAATCTTATCCAATAAGAATACCATGTGATAATGACCAAAGGTTGACTGTAAAATAGCTTGCTGAGTTATTTTTTATTTCACAAGTCTAAACCCTCCTCCCACTTCTCAATTGCCTTGAAATTAAACTGCAAGTTTCAGGAACATCTAAATAGATTTCCTTCTGTTTTCCTAAGAAATAGAATCTTACAATAAACAAACATACAGGAGGGCAAAAGGACATTTTGAGTAAGATTTTAACCAAAACATGTTTTTCCTATGAAAATATTATGATGTCCTTCAAATATATAAAACATAGCACAGGAAAACTGTGAAGACGCCTGAAACCTCTGAAGATATGACTGCATTTTTATAAATATTACAAAAATATGTTTGTCTTGTTTTATTTTTCACAGTTACTATGTCAATAATAACTGGCTCACATGCACCTGCACAAAAGTACTTCATATTTTACATGCAACAGTTGCTTTGCACAAAAGCCATATCCACAGAGTGCAGAAAGTTCTTCCCGAAATAAACAGCAAATATGCACTGACTTCTTGAAAAATGGAATTAAGTCCTCTACGTTTCGATATACGGAGGATATGAGGGTACTAAACAGAAAAAGATGTTCACTTTTCTCACAACCATTCTCAGAAAATTAAGTAGTATTACTCTTTGGGATAAGGGCAGGAGCATTTGACTCACATACAAGAAGTGAATTTTGAGTTGTATGAGAAAAAGTTGCAGAGACTTGAAGAAAAAAGATGGCAGGTCACACTGTTCAAGTGAAGAAGCTTGGGATGGGGGCTCCTCATTTCCGTTACATGCAAAAAGAATAGTTGCAGAAGCAGTCGAGTGAGTACATAGCTAGACAAAACATTCTGCCTATGCAAAAGCCATCTATGCAGGCTCTCAGTTTCTCCTTGTTGCCTATTTCAATTATCTAAGACAAAGAGAATATAAACATTTATAAAGGCGTAATTTTAAGATACAAACTAGTTTATGCACGGTATGATTAACACTTCAGAACAGATGCTACAGGCACAGTTGTACGAAAAGTCATAACAATATTTCCTAAAGTCCTGAATAATTCTATTATCACTGGCAAAGAGTTTATTTCTGTTTCCAGTGATGTCAGCAAGAACTCTTCCTGAGTAAGTGTGCATATACACATTTCTAGGCAGATTGCTCAGGTGTATGTACATATCACAAGAAGATCCCATATAATCCATGTTTGTTTCATAAAGAAGAAATGCCTTGCAAGTAGGTTTCAATTGCCTTCTATTTACTTCACTGTTATTGTTCAGACTGGTGTATTTTATTTATTTTTTTTGTGATCTCTCCATTCTACACAGCCAGCTAGCACTTCACAAATACAAATCAGCACATCTTAGTGAAATTCAAGTTTTCTAAACTCTGTAATTATTATTGTACCAATTACTTACACATGCCTATATGTGTTCAAAATAACATTCACATGGAAAGCCAGATGTTTCTAGCTGCTGCTTTAGCAACTGAAAAGAAAGGAAGAAAACTAAGGCTGAGTATCCAACTCTTTCTTTCAGTTGTTTCTGAAAGTATTTTTATTTATAATAGTTACAGACAATTCATATAGAGAACACAAATATTTCTCAAAAAGAGTAAAAGGAATGACAATACTTAAAGGGTACCAAGGCTACTTCTTTAATTACGTAAGTATTAGATCATCAGCTGCACAATGCTCTATATGCAGCATAAACACACATTACTTTGTAAGAAGACCACATTAAAGTCACCCATCAAAAATTCAAAAAACCTTTCCACCCACAAAGAAAAATCTTTGGCTGGTAAACAGCACATAAACATTAGAGTTTCACTGAAAACTTGGAAAATGTTTAAAACAGGAACTCATTTACTAGCCTATCACTTGTGCCATGTGATAACCTAATCACCTAACAAGATTTACAAAAGGGATTTATGGACCCTCCAGCCGAGGTATGGGTGATGTGCATTTATTTATACATGAGAGGCTAGGAATTCTTTTTGATGCTTTGAGAGCAGAACAAATTCTCTTCAATGGCTTGTACACCCATGAGAGGTGTACAAAACTTTCAGAATGTATTGAAATACTCGTTTTTTCTGCAATTTCTAATGAAATAAATACACAGATAAATCCATATATTATATACTATTCAACCCTGTATAAGGAAGGATGAAAGTCATCACAAGAGACAGAAAAAAAGGCAGAAAACTGTTGCTTTGTTTCACTGTCTATGATGTGTTAAGAAACATTTTAATACCAGCATAGTTACAGTAAAACACATGAAGAATAGCATTTCTTAAGAAAGCGTCTGAGATCAGATGTCTACTCCACATTTGTTTACTTGGCTCCTCCTCATATATAAAAGGTACAGAAGAGTTTTCTATTTTATTTTGCTTACTCACAAGGAAGATTGACTTAAGACCTGAAGAACTACAGAGATGAAGAAAAGATTAGATTTTTCTTCCTGAGTGCTAAATTGCTGAGAGAGATTTGAATGACGCTCAATGTATTACAACATCCATCGAACCAGAAAGATTACTTACAAATGGATAAATAAATTAAAATTAAAAGGTTCTATGTTATAGATCAGTAGTGCATTCCCTATAATTAGTGAATGAAAATTGTAAGCCTTAAATCGTCAGTTCAGATCATCATCCAAAATCTAGAAACAGCTTTACATTAGGCACTTCACTCGGATATACAGTACCATACAGACTCGGCCTGGAGGAATATATTTTCTGCTTTAGCTTATAAAATTGCCCTTATGAAACTGTGTCCACAAAAATGGTGCAACTGATTAAATTTAATTTAATAAATCTGTCTTGGAGCCGTGTATCTTTTTGGGTGAAAAAACCCAAACTATACAAAAATCTTCTCCCAAGATTTTTTTCAAGTGGTAACAATTTGGTAATGATCCTCAAAAAGCATGCAATGATATAAACTTTCTGCCAATTTTAAGTCACAATGTAATTGTGATTAGTGAACAAAAATTATTTCAACAGCATCACTTACATTTTATTACAGAGGTACATAGTGAAGCTTAATGCAACTGATTTTATAAAGGTGTTTTTAAGTCTTCATGTGTATGACATTACCATAAATAACAGTAATATCTAGCTCTTATAGAATGTTTTTTAGTAGCAGCTTTCAAAACTCCAATAGGCTTGGTTTATAGAAATCCAATATAATACTAGGAATTGTTATTCATTTAACTCCCTCATAGTTATGATATAGAAAATGAAAGAAAAAAAATTTCTTCCTTCTCCTATTTCAATTTCCTGCATGAATAAAACTGCCTTTAACAGAAATTCCTTATAACACTCTACAATTGTATAGTACATTATTAATTGCAGGTTTTGCTCTAATAAAAGCACCCATGTAACGGTGAATAGTGGTTCTAAAACCAGTGAACAACAAGAGAAGAAAAGTCACTGTAATAACCTGATGACTTTGTTACAGAAAGCAAGGAGGAACAACCGCCTTGTCCACTACTACTTTGAGACTCTACCCTAATACCAACAGAAGTGGTTATACATTTCTAAATACAGTCTCATTTTGTGGTGTGTTTTGGGTTTTTTTCGCTTCTGCGAAAGCGAAATGCTTGGACAAAATGTTTTTTTTCTGATCATAACAACTGCATGCACCCATAACTTGCAAAACACAGTAAGGTTATAGCCTTGGTTTCACTGATCAAAATGCCATCTTCACAAACAAAACAATATTCCCATTTGACATAAATTCTATTTAAAAACCTGCCTTAGCTTTCACAGAAACGGTATTTTCATACCTAACACACAATGCAGTCTCATTTAAAAATTATTTTCTATCTAGAAATACATCAGTTTCCATATTTTCTTTCATTGAGAACTAAAACCAGTCATGTACAAATTTTTCAAATTACCAGGAAAATATCCTTGAAACTACGTATTTAGTAATAACGTCAAAAGATGTGTGTACTCAAGCATGATGCAAAAAAAGGTTACTAGCAGGTCTTCTCTCTTCTACAGAATTTCTACAAAGCAACTTGAAAGACTCAAGGAGTTTAACATAAGGTAGTTAGACCAGTTTGTAACACTGCTTCCATTTCTTCGTATTTTTAGTGTATTTCAGACACATTCACTCATTATCCACATCTTTAGGTCCCAGACACTATGGGAGAAATATGCTTTTTTCATAGTTAAGCTACACGAATACGTCTTTCTTGTGTAAACCTCATGACACTATTACAAACCTGGGTTAGTTTGGGACGACCATAGGCACACACCTGAAGTGCAGCAGAGTCTACTTCACGCAGTAGAAGTAGACTACGAGAATGTCATGCAGCTGGCCAAGGAGGAAACCAAACTCTTCCTTAAAGACAAGGAAGTCTTTAAGGAAGTCTTTCACGCAGTAAAAAACAGTTGGTCATCCATCTCTTTCTTCCTACACATACATTGTACAGGACTGTACATTTGCAAACTCTCATCAAGTCTGCTAACTGTCTGAGGAATTAATTTGTGGAGGGAGGAAGTTCGGCAATGGTTTATTGTGCAACACCATGAACACCTGCGATGCAATCAGTAGCATCACTTAAGAGTAGTCTGGAAGAAATTGCATTCTTCTAGGAGCAAAAACTGAATACAGAAGTGATCATATCTTTGACTGCTGCTCATTACACAAACAATTAATTGGGTAAATCCCTGACTATATACTATTGCCCAAGGCACAAGGCATTTGTGTTAGCCTCTTTAAAAATAATTGGTTCAAGAGTGTATCTTATGAGAAACAACAGGTCAATTCAATTCTCTGTTTCTGTGTAAAAGAAGTTCTTTTACTACATATAGCATCTAGAGAGTTAATTAATCAAATCTTCTTACCACCTGTCTCTTAGAATGAAATGACCACGTAAGGTCTTTAGCAGAGAACAAATCCCAGGCAATTAAGTCTTGAACTCATAATGCATTAAAAATAGAACAACTTCCCTTCCCACTGCCCATGTTCAATGATTTCATACTCACCCTCTGAGTGATGCTTTTTCCCTCTTTGACTTGCACTGCCAATCCAAGATCAGACAGTCTGCAATTACCATTATCATCCAGGAGGACATTTTCTGGTTTCATGTCCCGGTAGACAATCTTGATGGAATGGAGATGCAGAATCCCACAGGTGATCTGAGCTGAGTAATAGATGACTCTGTTTATTTCCAAACCCCTTTTTCCCACATTGTAGATGTGATACTTCAGATCCCCTCCATTCATGAGGCTCATGACAAGACACAGATGGCTTTTGCTCTCATAGGCATAAGCTAGTGTGACTATGAAAGGGCTATTGACCTTCTCCAGGATCTCTTTCTCCAGTAGCGCCATCTTCTCTCCACCTTTCTTTTTCAATCTTTTCTTATCCAGTTTCTTGCAGGCGTACATCTTGCCAGTATTTTTCACCTGGATGGCACAAACCTAGAGAAGCGAGATGCACGAGGAAAGGTAATGAAGGAACTTTGAAGGGCAGTAATAGCCAGGAACTGGGGAGTCACAGATGCCTACTAGCAGCTGCTGATGCTAACTTCCACGGCAGAGTACATTAGCAGACAAAATAAAGGAAAAACAAGCGTAAAATCTGTTCTGTTGCAGACCAGTATATGGTGGACCTTACACAAAGTTCTTGACACTATTAGCAGACACGTATTAGCAAATAAAATTAACAAGGACCCATTCTCTGACCCTGAGAATAAGTAGCACATACAGCTTGCATCTGTATAGCTAAACTCTCTTCCATTTCAAAAAAGGTAGCCTTATTCATATTGTGTTTTGGGAAAAGATCCTGATCTGTGCTGTTCCCTAAACTGCACCTAGGAATTGTCAGAGAGCGTGTGAGCTAGCACAAGCTAGAACAGTGCCAAGGAGCAGCCTAATAATTAACTATATGGACTTCTTCATAAAGAAGTCTGCTTTTTTAATAACATAGACACAGAACACAAAAATTTCACAACAGCTCTTCACTATCAGGCATCTGGAGCCTTTATCACAGTATAGATAACAAACCCAGCCTAATTTCTGGGAAACGAACAATCTGAAGTTTTTGCAAAACCTTAATCCATTGCCAACTTCCTCTTTTAAAACCCACCTGCTGGTCTTCAAAAGGGAGGGATGACCCACATCCTTAGAAATACAGCTCTTACCTCTCCGAAGCCACCTTTGCCCAGCACTCGGAACTCATAGAAGTATTTGTCAGTTACCGGCTGCTTCTCAAAAACTTTCCATTGGAGGAATTTGTCATAGAAGGGGCTGGTCTGGAAGTCCTGGAAGGGCCTGTCTTTAAGAAAGAGTTTGGTTTCCTCCTTGGCCAGCTGCATGACATTCTCGTAGTCTTTCTCAGTAGCTGCCTCGCATTTGCTGGCCAAGTCAGAGCTCATGAAAGCCAGATAGTTTTTGGAGCCTGCCTTAAGAAAATTTGTGATCATATTCTCCATGGTACTGCTCTTGACATTGTCCTCCGCCAACTCCCAGTTTGACACCTCATCCAGGAAGTCCTTAGCTACCAAATATTCTGGCACTGTCTCTAAGAAGTCTCTGAAGAATTTTTTGCCAATAGGCTGCTGCTCGCAGATGCTGTCATAATCAGCAACAATGGACTGTCTGGCCTCCGCACATTGATCAATCTTGGGCAGTGAGAGGCTCTTACGTCTCTTTTGCATCTCCTTGGTGTCTCCATCTCTGCCTGCAGATAGGCTGTGTTGGCAATTAGGTTGTCAAGCCCCCCCATGTCACACATTTTGGAGAGCTCTTGAGGCGGCAGAGCCTAGTCAAGACAAAATGAGTAGCTGGCCCAAGTGCTGTGCTGTAGCTGCCCTGCACTTCTCCCTGCTAGCGGTGTGTGTGGGCTTCTGAAAAACACCAGAGAGACTAACTGCTTTTGCATTAAATACCTCTGAAGGATTTTCACTAAGTACCTTTAGGTATATGTACCATTTGTGGAAAGTGACTGGTAAGAGGTTTCTCTGTAAGGAGCTTTGAGTTTGCTATGTATAGCTGAGGATGACATCCTGGGCAAACCTTGTCACTGGCAGCGAACGCACTCAGTTCAGCGGGTGGTGTTCAGAATGGGCCCTGATAACTTTTTCATGCACCAAGACCCCCTCTGTATGCACTGTCCCTGGCTGTTGAGAACATGCAGATTCCTGTCTGTAACACATGCACACTCCAAACTCAGCTGCACTCTGGCCACAGTTAATAGGACAGCCTTGTATCTCCCTCGTTCGACACAGAGAACACCAATGTATTAAGAATTGCATTAAGTTGGGATCTGGTTTTATAAAAAGCTTTTATCACCAATCTGCCACGCCTGAAACAGAAGTGGATACAAACATGAGTCATTGAGCTTTAAATTACAACACAATGCAGTGCTTTGAGCATCCACACTTCCAAAACTCAAGTTATGCCCAACATCAATGACTCTGAGCTCCACAGGCCCTTCATGCAAACCTTGATGCCTCATGTGGCTCTATCTGAGCGGATTACATGCAGAGGCTAAGACCTGCTGCTGGTCTAAAAATAATGATCCCTTTATAGAAAACAACATACAGTTCTGACTTCATCTGCTACCCACAGGAAAAGGAAAAACACTTCAAACGACCAGCCAAATCTTGCCAAGACACTTCCATATGTTATTGTGGTCTCAGTTTATTTTCCCTGCTGAGCTTTAGGACAGTAAGTGGCAGGATGAGAAGGTGGCAACAGCGTACGGCTGAGGTGGCATCAGCAAAGGGACAAAGCTGATTATAATCAAGTGAAGGCAAATTCCACCTGACTTCACTCACTGCCTGCCTACCAGGAAGTCTGCGCTCCACTTTTTTTTCACCAAAAGAATAAAAAAACATGTGTGCAACTTACTAGGCTAACCCCCTTCTGCTGTGGGGTCATGCGATTTGGCTGCTAAAACTTTAAATATGAAGAAGGTATTATGGGACCAGGAAAAGCAGTTCCATGATTCTTCCAGTACCAATGGGGTGAAGGCTGTACTCTTGAGGCCAAGGTCAAGTTTCCTTTTCTCTTCTTTCACTCTTAGAGCGAGCTGAAGAGTTGATCCACAAATGCTAAACATTAGGAGTAACAACAGGCACCTCTCAGACTCCCAATAGTAAGCACTAAGCCCTTCCTGGCTGCTTTTTGTCACTCTACTACTATGTAGTATTTTGTTTTTACATGCTTAATCCTGCCTGCATTGACTCTATCTTACATATAACTCATGCTTATGCTCTACAAAATTACATCAGAGGTGTGAGTGTTTTTCTAGCTGTGACTGAGAAGGCCATCCATCACAAACTGCTATGTGCGCATGGGAACGCAATGCACTCTAAAGCAGACTATTTGAAAGCCTTGCTTGTACAGGAATCACTAATTCTGCCAGGTGAGCGCAAGCACGGGGCAGGAGAAGGCTACATAAAGGGCTAAATAATGCAGCCAGCAGAGTAAGCAAAATTCAAAAAAGTCAAAAGAAGAAATGTAGAATTCTGCTGGTGGCTTTCCTGAAAACGGTCCCCACAGCAACATATTCCTATAACATCCTGGGTACAGAAAAGCAAGAGAGGAGGTAATAAAAGCTTTAATTTCAGGCCCTAAAATCAAGCAGAGTCTTTTTTACATTTAGCAAGAATGTCACCACAGCTCAATCTTAGAGTAGCAGTACAAATGGCTGGTAGTTAGGGACTTCAGGGTGAACTCAAGCTTACACCAGCTTTTGACATATTCATGTCTAAGCAAATCAAGAAAATACCTAACGTTTACACTATCTGTATAAGATGGACACATTCACAGCTCCAAAAATCATTCTGCTCTTAGAATATTTCTTGATTTCTACAGAACATAAGCTTTCTCTAAAAGAACAAAACTTCATAAAAAGAAAAGTGAAACAATATGATTTTTGGACACATATTAATTAAGTCAGTCACTTTGAAGAGAAGAATCTAGTTAGATTTACTGAATTATGCAAATCTGCCCACATTTACTAAACAGTAGAAAGAAGTAGATGAGCATTAATCTATTAGTTGACAATGGCTATCTAAATTAGTGTTACCTACTCATAAAACAGTAGGTTTGAGTGAGAAGCAAAACTGGTTTACTTTGCATGTACAAGAGGTGAACAAATTCAGGACTAAAAATGGATACTTATTAAGAACTATGCTAATGGAATATCAAGGTATGACTTGGAACAGAAGAAAATTTCTCCGATGCAAAGCTCACAGAAAGACTAGGACTTTAGCTAATCTTCTCTAAATCACAGAGGAAATATGCAGGACTTAAAATTCAGTACCTTATATTGCAGGTGAACCTCTAATTACTGATCAACAAGATACTTATAATACACAAATAAGATACATACACAAACATCAGCTGCTTTAATTTCAACACTAACTTTCCTAATACCTCATCTGTGTTAACATCTGTTTGAGCCGACACTTTGGAAAACTCTTCTACAATTATAATTCCCAGCTACTCTGGTCATGCATGTGACATGAATTGAAAGCAAGGTGAAAACTACTTCGGTACTTTCCATATTCACCTATAAATCAAGGCAAAATAAAGGAAGAAATCCTCTGATGGGACTAGATGGAATTAAAAGAGCTTAAAGGATGGACTCTGAAACAAAATTCTGGCAGAGAAAACAGGTAGTAGACAAGATAAAGTTTAACTTCTACAGCTAAAAATTATTTCCACACCCAACCAGATTTTCTTTCGTGCTAATTTCAGGAAGAATCCTCTTACATAAACAGAAAAACTAAGATTAAAAACTCCACAACGTACTACAGGCATCCCATTTACAACTGTCAACCTACTTTATATTTGTTTTCAATTTTAAAACAGACATAATCTGGGATAGTAAAAACCAATGACGTACAATGTAACAGTGACACAGAGGATTTTTTTATCTCAGTGTGTAATGAGACAAAACCTATATTTAAAAAATTCAAAACATTTTAAAAACAAAATTACAAATATTAAACAAAACCACAGTAAACTCTGATAATTTTGAAGTAAACAATGATATGCATATAATACCGCTTCAATTTCGCCCAGGTTTATTGACGATTTTATTAAGCCTGAATTTGTTACAGACTTAAAGCAGTAATTCAACCTCTATATTACATGTATTTTAAAAACCCCACAGCATATGTTCAGATTAATAGTAATTACTTTGCATATTTAGGGAAAAGACAAAGTCAGAGGCAAGCACTTAAATATTTGTAAGGAAAAAAAAATCACATTATTCATATAAAAAGATGAATCATTGAAGATTTCCACAAAAATGAAACAATGCTTTCTACTACTACTAAAACATTGTAACCAATAAAATGATGATGAAGAAATTTCTTTTATCTGAATTTGCATGAAACCACAATTTAACAGTTTTTCCCTAGATTTAATTAGTACCTGCTTTCCTTGGGATATTTAAATTATCAGTTTTGTTTGCTTTCTACATTAGTCAGCTAAGTAGCAAGATTGTTTATACTCCTAGCTGACTGGTATCAAATACGTGTCTTTGTATCAAAAGTCTCTGGATTAAAATTACATGTCTCCATGATCTTTAACAGAAATATAAATTAAAAAATTATTAACGTGGTTAAATTTTAACATTATGGTAATAGAAATAAGGTATAGAATATAATACAGCAACAGACTTATAGATGCAACAAAACAAAATCTTCTAAAGTCATAAAGAAAACCTAAATTAGAAATGTTTAGTATAGTGTGATGGAAAAAGCACATAGCAAATGCTTTACACACTATTCATTTCAGATTAAAAACCAGAATACTTTCTAAAAAAACTCGCCGACTGTGTTTTTGTATACAATATTACCCAGAAAATGATTTCTTTGTCCTGACAGTAAACCACGCAGTGTATCAGACCTACAGGTAAGGTCGTCCTGATTCACTTACGTACGCAAAAACATTAAATAAACTGTATTAAGGGTATAATCTGCACCACATTTCTAACACTCAAATCTTAACAGACACATTTGTCACTGTAGTTCCTCTTTTTTTTCAACTGTGGAAGTATTTGCAGTAGGACTGACCATTGCTGCCTCATCCAATAAGGAGCACACAACAAAACCACACTCTTCTTGTAGCAGATAAACTAAATAAATCATTCTTTTATATGAGCATATGGCATAAGACATACAGTATTTCAACAAGTTCAACAGAAAAAAAAACCCTCCAGTGTTTTTATTTGCCTATTCTCTGGACTACCCAGTCCTGCTGGCAGAGGGGACAGCGATTATTCTGTTTCACCCACAAGGACATGCAGCAATTGTGGAAGGAATGATTGCATTCTCCCCAAACCACTGAAAGAGAAGAAAGAACATGTTCCAGTCACACTCAGCTGTCCCATCAACATCTACAGCAAGGTCCAAACTATCGTTCTCAGATGTTTATAACCACAGCAAGCTTTAGATACCAAATAGGTCACGACTCAATTATTCACTGAGACTGGATTATATGGTCATTCTGAGGATAGTTAGTTTTCAGCCATCTATCCTTTTATTTATTTCCAATTTTGAAAAAAGAAATGCATATATTCTCACCTTCTTGTATAAACTGACACAGTTTTGTGAATGGATAAACAAATTTATCAGTTCTATTCAGGAAATAAATTCAACTATTCAAGTTTTTCACTTTATCTTCCCCAGTGCCAAAATATAGTCAATGCACTACTGACTTACTATCACACAAGAGCATACTACCAAACTGTCACCTGAAATGCAGTGTTTAAACTTAAATGTATGATATCAAAGAGGCACTTTTGACACAGTGTAGAGCCTCAAAATGGGATCTTAGACCAGAAGTTATTCAGAGGCTACAACTGTTTCAACATTTAAAAAAAAAAGGTTATCTATTGTCTATCCACCCCTGAATAATACTAGTTACTTTCCTTTTTTTCCCCTTATTAGTTCCCATTTTTCTTACTGGAATACAAGAGTACCAAACAAAGAAATGTTGTAAATTATGCTTTTTTTTCCCCTCTCTATCTTAAATAGGACACTTCGCAAACCAATTAAGACATCTGGAACAGGAAATTCCTGTTCTAATTAAAACAATCATCAAAAACAACAGTGGATTAAGTTTGAGACAATATATTTCAAAACAGAAAGAACAAACGCGTGGAAAGGTTTACCACTGGTTTAAAAGTTGACCTGAAGGTTTAAAGCAAACTCTTTGAGACAATTTTCACTATTTCCGATTTAAATATATCGGAATTAAGTTAAGATTTGCTTTTGCATACATTGGTATGCAACTGAAGGTATGTTTATGTTTAAATAGCATTACAGCAAATTCAAGTGATTCCATTTTTCAAATGAAAAGTGAACAAGCAAGCAATTGCCTCCACTGTGTCTGAATTAAGACTGGGAAAAATATTGCTTTCTAACCCAGACAAATGTTTATTCCAGAATACAGGAATTTTATTGGTATTACCATTGTGTCTTCCGGCATGCATCTCAGAAGAAAAAAAAAGCAGCCTTTTTCTAGCCACTTCAAAAGCGTACATTATCATCTCCTCAATTATGCTCAGGGTGAGAGGAACTTAAACCTCTCAGTTGCACATGTGTTGACAGCAACTTTGAAGCTGTTTTGTTCTACAGCACGTTTGAAGGGAAAACTAAATTTATTAGTGCTCAAAATAAAGCATAAAGTATTACTAATGCAAAAAGATGACACAATGTAGAATGAAACACCAGTTTACTTTTGAACATTAATAAAATGAGTATTCCCTTCAAACATTAAAACGCACCCCACTGAGAAAAGCTTCAACTGAAAAACAAGCGAATGAAATCACTACATACCAACACAATCTTCTTGTTTGTTTTCAGCTTGACATCTAAGACAGGCATCTAAAAGCAAACAAGAACAAGACTCAATTTGATTCTCAGGATTTCATCTTAAGAATAGTTTGTCAGAGGAAAATATAAACTCTAAAACAAATTTACAAAGGTAAAAATCCCACATTCTGATGTCTAGTTCAGCCCTTTAATGTTAAATACCCCCCCTAAATTTTAAAACAGTGCGACAATGAAACGACAATGAAATATACATCTGAAAGAGATCAGAAGGACTATGAACTGTCCAACAAGTTTTGTTTATTTTCCATTGCTTTCATATTTTCATAACTTTTGCTGAAAAAAAAGCCTTCTCGGTTTTGTAGATATAACAACCAGTAGATTTGTGCCAAGGCACTCAAGCATATTAAGACCAGAGCAAGCACAGAGCCAAACCCTAATTACAGGACTTTGTTTTTCAGATGTCAGCATCTCCTTTTAAGGAAATAATCCACAATTTTGATTTTTTTAGGCTGTACATCTCTCATCACAACCCCCACCTCCTACTACTTTTTATACAGTAGTTTTCCTTAATAAGTACCTGTGTTTAATTTTCACAAGTCACGCACAAATAGAAACATACCAGTCAATTTCATAATATAAATGAATAGATAAACATAGAACAATATCTAATTAAAAATATTTATCATCTTTACACACTCCAGCCTGTGGATGGAAGGTTTAGGACTCAGTAAGATAAAGAAGTGACAACTTCCAGGCTCGGTACTGTGTCACACACACAAAGTGGAAAACTGCCTCTGTTTCTCCTTTGCCTCGACATGGGCTGCCATAGACATATGTGCACATACCATGCACAACAGAAAGCGTTCAACTATTATGGAAGAAAACACATCTTCACCTCTTCAAAATAAAAGGTAATAGTTTAAACAAAAGGATCCTGCAGGATGGACCCAGCCTACATGTCATTGGTTGGACCATGTTTTCCTAGAAGACAAACATAATGTGCTACAGGAATTCAGATTTGTGTATCGTTGCTTTCCTGCCAGATACAGCTGGTACTTCTATTTTAGATTCATTTGCCCAGATATTCCTCATTTTCTTAGGAAATAAGGAACAAACAGGACAGAAACTCTGAAATAGCTGCCCTTCCCTCACTAAGATAAAAGTAAGGCAATAAAAAAAGTTCCTGTTGCCTGTTTCTGCAATTTATATTTCCACAGCATCTAAGGGCCAAGCTGCAGGGAAAATTCAGTCAAACTGCTTCATGTTGTGTCGTGGTACATCGAAGCAAACTGCTCTGGGGTCCCCTCAATAAGCAGGGCAGTAAGCTGTGGCGGACTAGTAGTCACTATAAAAAGCAGCTTTCCCATCGTAGCCCTAGATTTGGAGTTTCAGAGAGAGAAGCAGCACAGAGAGCTGCAATCATACCAAGGGAAGTTGTCCCCACTCCTGCATCGTAAACCTAAGCGTGTCGGCCTGTGAAATGTTAAGCAAATTTAAGCCAGTACTACTGCAGTCCTGCCCTTCCCAGCTAACACCTGCAACACCTGCATTTTTGCGTCTTTTCCTTGAGCTTCTGTGATCCCTGAAGACCACATCAGTTGAAGGAGTTAAACCTGCAGAAAATTAAGCCAGCCAACACTGCCCTCCCTTGCAAAAAATCAAACAAACTAACTTTCAACAAGTGCCAGCTTAAGTCTGGCAGCCTTCAACCTAAGGTTACTGCAGACGCAGTGGCTCTACAGGAGCCAGACCGGGTCTGGCAGGGTCAACATGAAATTGCTAAACTGAAGTCAGTAATGATCAAGTTTCATGTTATAACAATGTGGGTTTTTTCCTCAAAAAAATGGTTACCAGATTTTTCTGCTAGTTTCAGAAGAAAAGTACTCCCTTAGTCTAGTTATGCAAAATTATAAATGAACTTTTTTTTTTTAACTTTTATAATAGCTCTGCTTAAGATTTTGTTCATTTAAGACTTTTTTATAGTGCCCTATAACAGGCTAGCTAGAACAGGGAAATATATTCTTAAAATTATGGCTCACATGGCAGATTAAGCCAATTTCTATTTCCAGGGTGGTCCCTGTTCACCACATAAAAGCAGACAATCTTCAAAACATGCTTATGCAAAAGGTGAATCTCCCACCACTTCAGTCTGGGCTGCACCTTTTTTCCTCTAGCACACCTTTTATGCCTTTTCTATTCCACAGAACGTTCTCAGTAAAAACATGATTGAGAAATGACAGCATTACAGGTTTTGTCTCATTTCCCTTAAGCCAAAATAGCATCGTGCTTCCTGGACCTATAAAAGCAAGGTGCTCTGGAGGGAATTTTGGGTCATTTCTCCAGCCAGACTGTATCAAGCCCAACTGAGAGGACAGTTATGCCTAGGATGACTCAGCACAAGAGTAAAAATTTGATATAGATATACAGTGGAAGAATAATTTGAATAATTTTCAAAAATCCAAGATAAATATATTTGTAAAAGACGTCAGAAAAAAGTAGCGCCAATCAACAATGAGGCTGCTTGCAGAGATTCTCCAATTTTCAAAACCAGTTAAACTAACGCCTTTTCAATAGATTTTTCAGTACATTCACGTGTTAAACTGCGCTAGGATGCTTAGGCAGAAGTGTCAGAGGCTCTGGATTAACAGATTTGGGAAATGAATGTGTATCTACATGCGCAACCGCTTCTTCCTTCAAAAAAAAATAAAGAGCAGCACCACAGATCTAGCACTTCGGTCGGCTCGGCTGTAACTCAGCGCTTGCAATAGACAAGAAATAGACTCCACGAAGTAGGCACCTCTCCCAAGGGCAGGGATGGCCGCAGAGCAGCCCGCCTCCGGGCCCTGGCACACGCTCAGCCCGCTTGGCGAGCGCCGCTCCCCACGCCGACAGGCGCTGCGGCCTCCCCCGGCAGGAGCGCGGCGAAGGAGCGCTGCCCGGGGCCGGGGGAAACGCTCCCCCGGCGGGAGCGCGCAGCCCCGCACTTCGCACACCCACGCCGAGGGCCGCGGGGCTCTCC